CACCACCACCACCCTTGTTCTTAGCCTGCAAACCATTAAGGACCATTTGAAGAGTATGGCTGGGAAGAACAAAACCTTTTAATATCAAGCCAGGCTCAGGATGGGAGCAGATTAGAAAGAAACCCCACCGTGGGCTATGGGCTGTGGCCTGCTCTCAGCTTTTCTTTATTTGCTTACAAGAAGGTTGTGATAAATCTTTTTAAGTCTAAACCACTAATCTTTTAGTCAGTCAGTATAAAAAAAATTCCATCTAAACGCACTGTGTCAGATTTTAATTGGCAGCATTTTTGTAGTGTTACTTAAAGTAATGATACATATTATGACCAGAGTCTTGGATTAGATGAAATTTGGTAAATTATTGCAGTTTTTATAACCACTCTATATTTTCTCCATATTGTATCCTCAGGTGAATCCAACAGTGTATTTAACTAATTATGTTTGACAAGTAGGTTGTTAGAATTCTTTTTATCATCTTCAGCAATGCTGTGATAGTTTGATAGCTAAATTAAAGTGTTTGTATACTTGCATGATAATTTCACTATGATAAATGCCTGTGATAATTACTGTATCAAAAAGAATGCACCTGAATTTTGAATATTTCCAAATTATATTCCAGAAAAAAATATAACAGTGTATGCTCTGACCTCCAATGGATAGATGCTCCCATGTTCCTGCACTTTGGCTATCACTGGGTTTGACTGTTTTGTTTTGTTTTGTTTTTAAAACCTTTGTTAATTTAGTAGCTAGAGATTAATATATTGCCGAGAAATAAAGGTCAGGCTGAACTAGGTAACCTAAAAAATTCCCTAGAACCAAACACCTCAAACTGGGTGCTAGATGCAAAGTGAGACTCTGTGCTGCCCGAGGATCTGGGTGAGAGGGGGCGGGTAGGCTGGAAGCAGTGGTCACACAGAACAGGAGCAAAGCCTACGCCCGGGCAAGAAGCTGATGTTTCCATGGAAATCTTTAGTGAAAAGGTGAACTGGAAAACAAAATAATCGACCCACTCTCCCAGGTGGGCCACTAGGAAAGTAGTTTGAGCCAAGGTCTGCATGTGAGGGGACTGGAGGGGGAATCCGTCCTGAGAATTTGTCACCTCTGGTGTCTTTGGGATTTGAGTTTGTATTGCCAGCTTGCTGGGGGATTTCCCCAAGCTGGGAAATTAATGTGAAAGCCCCACTGAAAATGAGTTTTTAAAAAGCCCCAAAGTTACAAAGTAAGGAGAGTGTCTCGGTCCAGGTGAACAAGTCAGCATATAGAACAAACAGCAGAACTAGAGCCTCAAGAACTTCAAACAGAAAGGTCTTTAGAGAGCACTTCTAAGTGTATTAAAAACAATTAGTGATGTAAAAGAGTCAAGAATATAAAGGAACAAAACACTATGGACAATAAGACATCTTTTTAAAGAAATAGGGAAAATCTGCAATTGTAAAATAAAATTATTGGAAATAGCAAATTTGACACAGCTGATAGAGAATTACTTAACTTGATGTGGTAGGTAGATCAAGAAAAATTAGAAAGTTTGAACAAAGATAAAGTGATGGAAGTAACTGAAGTTATAAATTGAGATAAGGAGGTGACATGAAAATGTAGCAGAGAAGCTAGGAGAAAATAGAAAGGGGACCAGAAGTGTTTGAAGAGGAAATGACCCAAGAATTTACCAGAATTGGTGAAAGCAAAATATGCATGCCAAATTTTAAGGTAACCATTACAAGAATTTGAATAAGATGTGTAACTCCAGCATAACAAAAGTACTACAGTGGAATAAGGAAACTATCGATCCAATATAAGGGAAAGGGGGAGAAAACAAGAAGCACAGAGAAAAAAAATTAAAATAGAAAATGCAAAATAAGGTGGTAGAAATTAATCAAGATAGCAGTAGAAAACAGAATAATCTTAAAACTAAACCTGCCCATCAGAGACTGTCTGACTCAATTTCTATTTTAAAAGTGAATCTTACTGTGGTGATTCACAGTAGACAAACCGAAACATAGAGATATAAAAGTTGAAAGTAAAGAGGTGGAATACAGGTATTTGAGATGAATTCTAACCAAAATATAGGAAAAACCATATTAACATCAGATACGATAGATTTCTAAGGCCCTGTTGTTAAGAATAAACATGGTTACTTTCTAATGATAAAAAAGAACAAGTCACCAGGAATAGAATTCTAAATTTGTACACTTATTAACAGGGCCTCAAAATATGTGGCAGATTTTTTAGAGAATTATAAGACTAATTGGCAAACCCATAACTGGATAGGGGGATTTTAATAAAAATTTCTCAGTAGTTAATAAACAGACAAATCACTGACAATACAGCAGATGTGAAAAGCAAAAGTGACCAGCTTGCTTTAACCATGTGTCCAGCAGTTAGAGAGTGGACATTTTTTCAAGCACATGTAAAGAAAAATCACTACATCTTCAGCTACAAGTCTCATCATATTTTTTTAAACATTTTTTTTAATTATTTATTTTTTGGCTGCGTTGGGTCTTCTTTTCTGTGCGAGGGCTTTCTCTAGTTGCAGCAAGCGGGGGGCCACTCTTCATCGTGTTGCGCGGGCCTCTCGCTATTGCGGCCTCTCGTGTTGCGGAGCACAGGCTCCAGAAGCGCAGGCTCAGTAGTTGTGCCTCACGGGCCTAGTTGCTCCGTGGCATGTGGGATCTTCCCCGACCAGGGCTCGAACCCACGTCCCCTGCATTGGCAGGCGGATTCTTAACCACTGCACCACCAGGGAAGCTCAGAAAGTCTGTAGTTTTTAATGCTTATAGTTTTTAATGCTTATATTAAAAAGAACAAAGAGGACAAATTACAAAGCTAAGCAACCAAACGAGGATTTGTAGAAAGAGAGCAAATGTAAAGAAAGAAGTAAATCTAAAACAGTAGAAATACAGGTACAGTGATGAAAATGGATAAATCTCAAACTGGTTCCTTAAAAAGACTAATAGACAAGCCTCTGGCAAAATTAATAATAAAAATATTTTAAAAGGGGGACAATAAAATTAGCAGGCATTTTTTAAAAGAAGACTGACTGGGCAGTATACTTGAAAAGTTTATTGAAATGGACAGTTATCTAGAAGTAGCAATACATATAGTCAGGAAAGGATAGACGATTTAGCATGTGGTTTGTGAACCGGTTTTCTATGCAGAGAAATGTAAAATCACTTTTCTTCTTCATGTTATGTACAGTTTTAATCAAGGTGGATTAGAAATGTCAGGTTTAAAAGAAAATACAGTAGAATCATGCCAAAATTTGGAACCTGCCGAAAGATCTTTAGCAGGGTCTAGCAACGAGAGAATGGATAAATTATAAATCTGTGCTATACAGTACATTACATACAGCTGTAACTGTCTCAAATGTTATCAGAAACAAATTGGCAGAAGCAAATGTACAACGTGTTACAGTTTGTGTAATCTAAAATTTGAAAACATGCAAAATAATTTCATACATTGTTAGACAGTAAAATATAAAACATTCATGGGAATGTTAGACACCAAATCACGGAGACATTTGCCCCTAGGGAAAGGGGGAGGATCAGAGTGCGATTAGGGAAGAGTTCCTAGTATGTCAGGTATACTCTGTATCATTTCATTTCCTAAAAAATTGAGGGGGCTTTGGATGGAATGAGACAAGCATGGGAATGTAATAAGATTTGTCCAAACTAGGTCGTGAGTTTGCAAGAGTTTGTTGTGTATTATAATCTGTGATTCTGTCTATATTTGAAATATTTAATAAAATGAGTCAGTGTTTTATGGCATAGTTGTTTGATTACCACTGAGATTGAGGGGTTTCTTAGGTTTTTGGCTACGAATACGTATTTCTTTTAGCTTTTGGATTTTCTATTGGAATCCTTGTTTCTTTAGGGATTAATTTTTTTCACATTGTTTTAAATTACCTTTATTTATTAAAGGTAGTTACTTTAAGATATCTCTTACTAAAATAGTTACAAAATTTCAGATGAAGTGATTATATGACTGCTTAGAAAGGCCTTCTCCAGCCTCAGATAAAGAAAGTATTTGTGTGTATAGTCTTTGTTTTATGGTTTCGGTTTGTATATTTTAATTCCTAATCTGTTTTTAATATATTTTGGAATATGAAATTTTTTTGAAATCACCTATAATGCCATTTATTCAATAATCTTTATCCGCTGACTTGAAACAGTTTTTATATAGCAAGTTCTTAAATACACCAGCATATTCTGTTTCATGATTTTTCTTTCTGTCTGAATCAGTATTGGTGTCTTGCTATTAATTTTATCCAAGTAAAGTACATGCAGATAAACTGGAATAGTATTAAAGGTTATTAAAAAAAAAAGAGAGAGACCACATCTCCATCTCTCTCCATAGTGCCTGGGTCTTGCTCTTTTCTGATTGGCCAGCTTTAGGCATCCATGACTTTCAGTTGTAATAGAGGACTCCGTCCCTTTCACTGCCGTGTCTTCTGCTTTTCATTTTTCATTCTCAGAGGGTAGCTTTGGTTAAATCCACTTACAGATAATTTTAAAGTTTTGGTTATTTTTATATTTATGACGTATGCTTTTGGAAATATTCATAGCTAAGCATTATAATAGACTATGGTCATAGCTTGTTGTTTTCCCTGAAGTAGATAGTTGCTTTTTTTCTTTTCATTTGCAACCTTTTCTTTGTACATTTGCCAGTTCTTTTCTTACCTTCTAATATACTCTCAGGACAGTTTTCCACAAGGTAATGGCATTAGACGATCTTGAAGGTTCAGAGTTTTCTTGGTGACCTTCCTCCAGGTTGTTCCATCCTCCTCGGCTGGCTGACTCTTAGCTTTATTGGTGTGTGAATGGGATCTTTTTTCCACTCTAACTTTAACAGGTTTTGGTTGATACATGGGAAACATTGATACTGAAGTATCTTATAAGAAAATATGTTCGTATTAATCACTGTTGACATTGATGATGCCTGTTGATTTCCTTGACTCTTCTCCAAGTCACGTTTATAACTACTGCACGAGTGTTCACCAGTCAAACCAGGCTCGAGGGGCTGGTGTCCCTCCTTCTAAATCAAAAAAGGGTCAGACGCCGGGGGGAGCTCAGTTTGTTGGCTTGGAATTGTACAAACGGCTTAAAGAATTTTTGAAGAATTACTTGACAAATCTTCTGAAGGTAAGATGTTTTATATGTATACTGAGCATTTATAATAGAATGTAAAAAAAAAAAAAAAAGGTAGTGAAATAATGATTCTATTGGTAAGCTAAATCTTTCACTGTCATTTTTTCATTGTTTTTGGCATTGACATGTGCCTGAAGATGCTTTGCTCTTGCTTAGTCATTTACCTGTTGTGAAGATGAAATCTTCATAAGCCCATATTCTGTTCTTTGATTTGTTCAATTAGAAGTTTTTGATAGCCTTTCACCATAGTAGTACTTTCCTTAAATTACTAACCATTTGGTATTTGGTGGCTAGAGATTGATGAACCTTTTTAAAGCATATGATTATGAAGTCAGATTACCTGTATTGTATTTTGAACCCAATGTGCTGTTCTGTATCAAAATGTATAAAAGACTGTAAGGTTATCCAGCCTTCAGTAATCACATTTTCCAATGTGTTCTTGCCTTTTCTACATGGCCTTGTGGTACATTTCAGAACTATAAGGAAGTTGTGCCCTTGGCTGGGTGGGTTTCGCCACAAACATTCATTCCTCCTGCTCTGAGCCTTTTGCTCGGACAGTGATGTGGTTTTTCCCCTTCATTTTCTGCCTTTTTCTTCCTCAGTCTCCATCCTCTGTAGCAAAGGCAGTGTGATGCCTTCCATCCAGCCACAGGATGGGCAAGTGGCTTTTTCATCTGGTGCTACGCACATTATGTAGGGTGTGTACCCTGGGAAGTCTGCACACTCTGTGTATATACTTTAAAGATTTTTTATTTACACAGATAACAGGCAGAAAACTTCAGCATGCTCCACATTTGTTTTTCTTAATGTATTTTACAAGATAATTGGAAACTTAACATCATTTTAACAGACCATAATCGACTGACCACAAATCGTGACTAAGATGGTATTATTTTCCACGTTCCTAAGCAGTCTTGATGAAGCCACTGTGTCGTCCTCGCTTTTATTCACAACACTTTGTAAAGTGAACACTGGAATTACTATTCTTTTTTAGTATTGAAGTGAGGAACAGTGTATTGTGTTTTGAAAGGTATTGACAGCCATGCCATCAGCGATATTATTTTTTGCATTCTAAAAAAGGTCATCTGCTATAATCCAGAATAGCTTAGCTTTACATGTTCGGGTTCATTTCTTGTTATTTAAATGAACACAGATTTGGTTGTATCAAGATACGGTCAGGTTTTCACGTGGCTTGTCGGATCACTTGTGCAGCGTGTATTTATGGAGCTTCCATTCTGTCGAGCTTCTTATTCTGCCAGTTGAAGGGCCCCAGGCTGCGAAGTTCAGGGACGGCCCCAGGCCCTTAGTTCATGGAGGGGCTGCCCCCTCCCAGCTCCCCCCTGGAGTGCTCTTCCGCTACAGCACGTTTTAATTATACTGCAATTTAATGCCCCATTTTTAAAGGGTAAGACCTAACTTTGTAGATGTCATTAATACCTAAGAAAAAATTTCAAGTTACTTTCCTTCAAATAAAAATTTGTGGTTTAAGTTGTAGACATTTCAGTAAAAATAGTTTGGTAAATGAACATTTTCCTCGTGAGGCCTTTTTAAAGAAGAAATATTGCACCATTATACTGTATACTTTATTTTTACAAAAATGCAGCAGATTACCACAAAGAGCTATAGATTTTTATAATTTTTAAGTAAATTTAATGAATGAAGAGGATGCATTAAAAAAATGGAATAGTATCAGCCCCGTGGTCTAAATTGTTAATTGGACATTTTAATTAATTTTTTAACAGAAAATATCAAAAATAGGGGTAAGTTGAGGTGAATTCCTTATTTGTTAAGATAAAGGAATTACCCTCATATTCTAAAAAGTTCAGTCTTTTTATGAATGTACGTGCATATTAATACCATGAAAAAAGTTCTAGTTTGAGATCAAAGAATTTTCATTAAAATTCTCTTTAGTCTAATCCTCATGAGCTACTTTCTTGTGAGAATTGGTAGTAAGTGAGCATGTTTTGTATACAGAATAATTCAAAGAACCCATCTAAAACCATACACATCAGTGTATCTTAATGCAATAGGTTTGTTTCAGTTAACTTTTATCTCAAATTTTTTATCATGTGACAAATTAGTCATCTTAAAGCTTTAGTGAACTTGTCTTTAGGACGGAGAAGATTTGATGGATGAGAGTGTACTGAAGTTCTACACTCAACAGTGGGAAGACTACCGGTTTTCAAGCAAGGTGCTGAACGGGATTTGTGCCTACCTCAATAGACACTGGGTTCGCCGCGAGTGTGACGAAGGACGGAAAGGAATCTATGAAATCTACTCCGTAAGATTTTTTTTACACACCTTTCAAATGTGTGTTTTCTTAGGGACGCATCTTCCTTCCCAGTAGGAGACCTAGGCAGATAGTAAGCAGTATTCAGACTGGTGAGCTATAACTTCCTTTGTTTTAATTTATCAGTAAATGGCCCTTAGATATTTTGTGGCGAGAAAAGAGGAGGATGAGTAATTGGAGTTCTAAACTACAGCCTGCACACTTCTGCATTTACTTATTAAAAGTTTCTTCTTCGATTATCTGACCGACCATCAGGCTGAGCCCAGAGCTGTCCCCGTTTTAGCACAGCAAGTCCTGCGTCCCGGCCGCGGCAGGCAAAGTGGGTCCCTTACTTGGGACTCGAGCCTCAGTGATCCGCCGTCCACGGTCTTTTGGGGTCTGGGAAACTGCTTCACGGAGGGGACTGTGATGTGAAATCCCATTCTACCCATTCAATATACAAAGTAATATGAGTCATGACACTTAACAGAATTCAAAATTGAGGGGTTTTTTTTTAAAGACTGCACGGAAATAAATTTTGAAGAGGCAAAATTTGAATTGTTAAATCACCTTCATTAGTTATGTTTCTTCAGTCAAGGGAGCTTTTTCCAGGCTCACTGGTTTTCAAAGTGTGGTCTCCAAACTTGCAGCATCAGTATTACCTGGGAACTTGTTAGAAATGCAAGTAATTGGGCCTCAGCCTAGACTGACTTAACTAGAGACTCTGGAGCTGGGGCCCAGCAGTGTGTTTTTAGCAAGCCCCCCAGGTGATTCTGATGCACTGTCGAGTTTGAGAACCAGTCAAGGGAGGACTCAGAACAACAGAACAGTCTATCTGTTCATAGTAGGCTCTCAAGATATACAGACAGTACCTTTTTTGAACGAGTGGTGTTAAAATGTCAGGTTCTGCATAATGAGATTATCTCCATATCCAAGAATGTTGCTGTAATAGCAATGCTTTGTTGCGTTGCTTTTGGCAAATTTAATTAAAAGAAATGTGCCATAGATGCATGACAAATTTTTATTATTTGTGTAGCTCAGTTTCTATACCAAACGGTTATTGCTTCATAATGGTACTTTGTTATATAATTTTAACAGAACTTTCTAGGTTTAGTGTTTTGATTTGAGTCTTTTGTAGTCCACCTTTTCTTTTCCACTTACAAATGTTTTCTTGAGACCGAAAGTTGTCAGTGTAGGAATCAGCATGATTTTCGTTGATTTCCTCTTGGCTGCTTGACCTAAAACACCATATATATGTGCTATAATAACATCACATGCTCCCAAAAATTATTATAGTCTTTAAACTTTTTTGTGTACTGTTTTCAAGATTTGACTGCTTTTTTTCCCTTTTCTTTCTTCCTTTTTTTTTTTTTTTACTTTCAAAATTCGTAGTTTCTACATCCCTAAATGCTGTAGTCAGTTTGGAAATGCAATACGCAGCCATAACTCATAGCAAAGGCCAGTTAACACGTCTCTCTACAAACAGTATTTCCTTTGCCAGCTCTTGCAGGAAGCCTCTTGAATTCATTTAAAGCTCGAATATCAGTTGACACATGGAACAGTTCTTGTACAGTGATGCCTCATTGCATTTTCCAGACTCTCCAGAAGACAGGGATGCTTTGTCATGAACTATAAAGATTTACTTTTTTCCCCTGATAATTTTGTCTTTCTCTTCAGTTATAGAAAGTTGTGGGTTTCCTTTCCAGTCAACCAGAGCGCATAAGCTAATTTCATTATTAACACGTTAAAGGGATTCAGCAAGACTTCTTCCCTAAATCTGTCCTTCTGAACTTTCTCTGGTTTACCTTCGGTCCTGCTTTCTTAATCTTGCCTTTCTTCCTTCAAAGTGACAAATTATCCCAAGTCAAATGAGGTCTGCCTAGTGCTGTCTTAACTTAGAAAAATGTTTGGGAAAAGTTATTTTGAAAGGTGCAGTATCTTTCCTGGAAGTTGATGGCCACACGTTGCGTTTGCCTTGCCTCCCCCACCCCCCCCGCCCCGCCGCACTGACAGGTCTGAGGAGTGCGGGAGAGGAGCAGCGGCCAGTTTGCACAGGGAGAGTTACCTTCAAACCGCGCCCCACAGGGTGTATTTTTCCTGAAAAATAAGACTCTTTCTTCCCGGAGTCTTTTTTGGTAGCATAATTCCTAATGCTGAAATAACCTTTTTATTCTAATAGTACTTGAGTATATATTGTTCATGCTTTACTAAAAATATTTTTCTCTTAAATAGTGCTTTCATGTTGCCCTTTTTTTGGTAGAAATTTTTTTCATTTTGTAAATTAAATTTACACATAATCTTTTCAGAACTGTATTATCTTACATAAACCCAGTTTTATCTGTGGTTAAATTTTGGGGAAAATAAGACTGATAGCATTTACCTTTAAATTAATTTCTCAGCAGTTTGTATTTGAGTGTTAAATTGTTATAAATTTGAGTTTGAACTTAACTGAATAATACCTTTCTCAACAGTTTAAAAACCATATATGAATTGTAACATTTCCCTTTGGGGGAACATTTTACAGTAACTTTCTAACATAACCTCTATTGAGAAGTTCCAGAACTTTAAAAAATGCATCATACGCACACATACTAATAAAATGGGAAATTTGAATAATTTATGTATAATAAACTGCATTCATTTAAGATGTGCAGTTTGATGCATTTACAGTTGTATGCATCCATGTAACATAAAACACCATGATAAAGGTACAGAACTTATTCGATATTTAAGATCTATTATTTATTTTACTGAGTATTAGGAAACTATGATAAATGGTAAACTATGATAACTCTTTCTTAAATGTGTTAGGTTGGAATTATCTTTCTTAAATGTGTTAGGTCAAAACATACATTTGAGTCAGAGAACAATTTTATACATTGAATCCACTGTTGCCCTTTAGGCTAATATGTATGTTCTCCTAAAATCCAGATTTTCTTTTTATCTCAACTATTAAAATGTGAGCTGATAAACGTCTGTACTTTGATACCTTTTGAAGTTGTTAAGAGCATGGCTCTCTGATTTCATCATGATGATTTTTACGAAGTTTATAATCTAGAAATATTGATACATGTAATCTAGGATTCAGGCTGTTTCCTATGACTTCAGCTTTGGAAAAAGCATAGTAAAAGTACAGCCATTTAATACTGTTCCTTTTCCTTTTCATCCAGCTTGCATTGGTGACTTGGAGAGATTGTCTTTTCAGGCCACTGAATAAACAGGTACCTACTTGTGTGAGTGTGTGCATGTTTTCCTTTTAAAACCCCTTCCAGATTTCATTTCTTAGCCATTGTCTTCCTCACGCCTTTGGGATGTCCTGAGAGTGCCTCTCATCTTGCATTTAATGGATTCTAATGTTTAAGAGCTATGTAGTAACATAATGTTGGGTTGGCTAAAAACCCGAACGAACTTTTTGGCCAGCCCAATACATACTGTAGTCTGTAATCTACATGTTTTCTTCCTATATCCTTTCTAAAGGTAACAAATGCTGTTTTAAAACTGATTGAAAAGGAAAGAAATGGTGAAACCATCAATACAAGACTGATAAGCGGAGTTGTACAGTCTTACGGTAAACAATTTCCCTTTAATTTATTCAAAGTTGTATATCAAGTGACAATTACATCACAGTGCTCCAATAGATTTATTTTCAGATAGTTTAGTATTATCAAGAATATTGTTAGCATTTACAGAGGTACTCATAATTCTCTTTATGTCAGTGTGATTCGGTTTGATTTTACCCATTATAAAAATGGTTTGATCTTTGTGCCCTAAGGAAATTTTGATGGACTAGACATTTGAATTATTTTCTTTTCTGGTCTCATACTGAATTACTGGATTTATATGCTAGAGTGTCATTAATGGAGCCGAATGATAACAGATTGAGAAATCTAAAAAGTAATACAGTATTTCAAAAGCTTAGGTAGCATTGTATTTCTTTGAAAGTTTAGAATTAGGCATTCTTCCTTCTGGTAAGCTTTTAGAAATATAAACGTTCTCTGAATGAACTTCATGATAATTTGGAACATGCCTGGCCATCCATCAGAATTACTTGCTTTTGTGTGTCTTGGACTTTTTTCTTTTTTCTTTTATTGAAAGTATACTTTACTACCAGTGAATAACAGATTTGCCTTATGCCCTGTTATTTTTTTCTTACCTTTTAACTTAACTTAAACTGAATGCCACACCTAAGTATATTCCTTAAAATATAACCAAAAATAGGGCAGTTGAAATGTAGTTCCTATTTACTTCCAGTGGAACTGGGACTGAATGAAGATGATGCCTTTGCGAAGGGCCCAACGCTAACAGTGTACAAAGAGTCCTTTGAATCTCAGTTTTTGGCTGACACAGAGAGATTTTATACCAGAGAGAGTACCGAATTCTTGCAGCAGAACCCGGTTACTGAATACATGAAAAAGGTAAGCTTAAACATAGTACTTAAAGTAGGCTTAAGTTAAAAGTTATTGCTGCTCAAATGAATTATTCTTTTTAATATATGCAACTTTCTTCAAAGTCATTTCTTAGGCACTGTTATCCTGTAGTGTCTGTAGCAGGTGCAGATGGTTTCTCCCAGTTCACCAAGGAGCTTTTATAAATTAATTTGATAATCATGGCTCAGTGTTCTCCTTACTGATCGGAGGATATAACCGTAATAGCTGTATGACTTTCGTGTTTTGAACTGTCTCTACTACAGTAGAATGTATATGTGTATCTAACGGGAGCCACGGTCTTACGTCAATGAGAAACTAGTTTTTAGGAAACAAATATTTGCAAACTTTAAGCTTTTGCTTTTTTGCTTCTGAAATATCCCCTAAAAATCTATATAACACAGTCTTCAAGTTTGCATTAGAGGAGAAGTCCTTCTGAGAGAACAGGATCGAAGGCTTAGACAAGAAAAAATCCAAGATCGGTGTCTGTAACATAAATCTTTTTCTACATTAAGTGATGTTACAGTGAAGTTCTAGTGGAATTATTCTTCGTTCTCCTTCTCGGGAATACAGGTATCCCAGACTTATGCTCTGAGGAGTGACCTAAGTCAGGAGGTAGCAAACTTTCTATGAAGGGCCAGATGGTAAATATTTTAGACCTTGTGCACCTGTGGTCTCTCTTGCAACTGTTCAGCTCTGCCGTTGTAGCGCAGAAGCACAGCCATGGCAACATCTAAACAGTGAGTGCAGCGGTGTTCCAGTAAAAGTTTACTTACAGGCAGGATTTTGCCCACAGGCTATGGCTGCTGACCGAGACGGGCAAGGAGACATCCAGGGAGTCTGGGGCTGACTGTGTCTGACCTGCTTTTTTCCCTTTATTCTCTGTTCACTTGGAGAGCAAATGCACTGCAGAATCACTTTCTCCATGTGCTGAGATCGAACGTTAGTAAGTCAGAAAGAGCAGCAAACGCTCTCCCTGCTAACCACGTAGAGAAGGTCCTCCCCAATTTGTTTGTGACATTCCGAGTTCATTTTCCCATAAGAGATAGTGATTATAAGTGGTCCTTACAAGTTTGAAACTGGAAGTCCTTGACAAACAAATTTCTGATACCTCAAAACCTAACAAAAGTGCAACGCTTCAGAAATATTCTACTTGGGGGGCTTCCCTGGTGGCGCAGTGGTTGAGAGTCCGCCTGCCGATGCAGGGGACACGGGTTCGTGCCCCGGTCCGGGAAGATCCCACGTGCCGCGGAGCTGCTGGGCCCGTGAGCCATGGCCGCTGAGCCTGCGCGTCTGGAGCCTGTGCTCCGCAACGGGAGAGGCCACAACAGTGAGAGGCCCGCGTATAGTAAAAAAAAAAAAAAAAGTATAGTAAAAAAAAAAAAAATCGGACCTGGAACCAAAGGCAACTTGAGGAGCAAACATTTCCAAGGGCCTGGATATTTTCAACCCAGTGTGAGCTCTGCCTTCAACAGAGAGCATGCTTCCAGCATCCTTGCTCTCTTAGAGGGGATTTCTTCCTAGAGGCGTTAAAGGTTTGGCCCAAATCTGGTTGGATCTTACCAAACATGACGTCCATCCATTCTGAAAGTCCATAATGCAGAGACTCTGTGAGCATAAAATTGGAATTTAACCGTGTGAACAATTCTACCCTTACCTGTAGCTGTAGCCTTGCATCTCAAACTGAGCTATGGGTCTAATTTAAAATCCCTACTCCACCATTTACTAGGGAGTTGACCTTAACCTTTCTGTTCCTCAGTTTCCTCATCTATAAAATGGGGATAATTTATCATTATTATATATTATTTGATGCTTGGCAAAGAGCAAGCATGATATATAAGTGTTTGGTATTTTACACACGCACATTGTTTAGAACCTTCAGTATATGCCTGAGAATATGCAAAACCATGGGATAAATTGTGGCACATTTTATTCAATAACTTAAGAAATTACGTTTATATTAAAACATTCTATCAGGAAGTAGAGTACAAAACTCATGAACAATATTGCGATAAAGCATGAACTTTCAAGAAATACTCTGCTTTTAACAGCCAGTTTGGGCTAGATGTGCAAATTCCCTGCAGGGGTCTATGTTCCCATTTCTGTGTTGTTAGGAATCTTTTAGTGGAAACAGTTGAGAATCTTTGGCTTTCCTTCTACTGATGACTTTGATGAATGAACACCCCTGAGCCATATTAGTGTTTTAGCATATCTTACTGTCTCATCTGAGCTACGAAAAAAAGTGTGACTCTTTTAGGTTTCTGATGTCATTTTTTAAAACTTTAAAAATAAATATACCTTATTTCATTAATTTGCTTACTTTTTTGGTCTTTTTTTTTTCTTTTTCATTTTGTTTTTCCTGCATACTGATCCTAAGAGAATTAATAGGAACAGTCTTTAATTGCTTAACTTTATTTAGTCATTCTGAATTTGATCTGGGTGTTCTGATATAATTATCTGCCAAGTACAGTGCTGATCAAGAGCTTATTTGCCTTCAAGTCAACAAAGAATGTAAATGACTGTCCTTCCTAAAACCTAATGATATAACACCCAGGACCTTGGGTTTTTCACCAACCTCAGAGACACTGCAGCCTCAGGTTCAGACCACTGCGAGAAAGCAAGTCACTCGGATTTTTTGGTTTCCCAGGGCATAACGCCATACTGTAGTCTATGAAATGAGGAGAATAGCGTTATGTCAAAAACACCAATTTACATACCTTAATTTAAAAAAAAGTTATTGCTAAATGACGCCAAAACAATTATAATAGCAGCATCAAAGATCACTGATCACAGATCAGCATAACAAATAATAATAATGAAAACGTTTAAATATTTTGAGAATTACCAGCATGTGGCACCGAGACCCAAAGTGAGCAAACGCTATTGAAAACACGGTGCTGATACACTTGCGCTACCCACAGCCCTTCAGTTTCTGTTTTGTTTTTAAAAAAGCAGTATCTGTGAATCGCAATAAAAGGAAGTAGGCCTGTGGACAGTAGTCCCACCTTATTCACAGTTTCAGTTACCCACAGTCAACCTCAGTCCGAAAACTATTAAGTGGAAAGTTGCAGAAATAAACAGTCCATAAGCTTTAAATTGTATGTATTGAAACATGTCGTTCTGAGTAGCATGATGGAATCTTGCCCTTGAATCATACCTTTGTCCATAGCATCTCCCCTGTTAGTCTCTTCATCGACCAGGTGATCAGATCGACCGTCGTCTGCAGTGCTTGAGATCACATAGCCCTTATTTTACTTAAAAGTGGCCCCAACGCACAAGAGTAGCAATTCAGATACGCGAAAGAGAAGCCCTAAAGTACTTCCTTTAAGTCAAAAGGAGAAAGTTCTCAACGTAATAAGGAAAAGGTTGCTAAGATGTGGTGAGAATAAGTTGTCTCTCCATGAAATTGTGAAGAAGGGAAATTTGTGCTAGTTTTGCTGTCACACCTCAAGTTGACGTTATGGCCACAGTGCATGACACGTGCCCAGTTAAGATGGAAAAGGCATTAAACATAACTTTCATTACATTATATTGTTATAACTGCTCTACTTTATTGTTGTTGTTGCTAATCTCTCACTGTACCTAATTTGTAAATTAAACTTTCTCATACGTATGTATGTATGTATAGGAAAAAACATAACATAGTACCTATAGGGTTCACAGTTTCAGGCATCCACTGGGGGGTCTTGGAACATATCCCCCGTAGATAAGGGGGGACTGCTGTGTAAACAACTACTGAGCCCCTCTGGCTTTTGTGATCACTTAGGGACCAGTTTGCTCTTCCCTCTCGGCCCCTGCAGGAAGAGTCTGTAAAGTGCTACTGTTTTTTTGTAGTACAGGGGATGGAAAGCCAATGTCCCCCAGAGAGTGAATCAGCAGTGATACCAAAGCTTTACCTTTCATTTTAGGGGAGAGAAAAGTTTTTAAGAGATGACTTTTTGCTGCCAGGGTATTATGTTCTTCCAGGAACAGGTATAACCTCGAGAAAAAGTGGTGCTTTTTGGTTTGCATGTCCTGTATTTCGCCAGCTTTAGTCCTTGAGGTATCAGGCTAAATGAAATACTAGATATGAAGCAGCAGAGGCTTGGAACTTCAGAGTTAAAGCACAGAAAGATCTTTTACTGTTTTTTAAAATAGCTTTGTAATCAGGAAAGAAAACACACAACTGTAGACTTGCAGGGAAATACAAATAGCATAAACCTGCACAAACTTGGGACACTTGCTTAAGTATGCACGTAAACACCAAATTGGAGTAATGCTATAGGGTTTTGTTTTGTTTTTATTTATTTATTTTTGGCTGCGCGGGGTCTTTGTTGCTGTGTGCCGGCTTTCTCTAGTTGCAGAGAGCTGGGGCTCCTCTTCGTTGCGGTGCGCAGGCTTCTCATTGCGGTGGCTTCTCTTGTTGCGGAGCACGGGCTCCGTAGTTGTGGCTCGCAGGCTCAGTAGTTGTGGCACATGGGCTTAGTTGCTCCGCGGCATGTGGGATCTTCCTGGACCAGGGCTCAAACCCGTGTCTCCTGCATTGGCCAGCAGATTGTTTAATCACTGTGCCACCAGGGAAGCCCTGTAGAGTCTTTTAATAACTATTTTCCCCCACTAATTTATTACATTAATGTATTTTCTATTTACTGGATAGCGGTATTCCATTAACCAAATAATATAACAAATTATATCTTATCAGAATCTTCAAGTATTTCTTACTTTGCAAATTGTTCCTTTTCCTTTCCCATGTTTTTATTTGCACATACTTATTGATTTTTCAGAGATTATTATATATTAAGGACATTGACCTTTTGATATATACTACAGATATTTTCCAAGTTTATTTTGTTTTTCACATTTAACTCTCTTTAGAATGTGCAGTAAGGTTTAAATTTCTGCAGTTGAACCTATTGTCCTATTAGTAATTCTTGACAGCGCAAGGCCTGCCGAGTCATTTTTTCATTTTGTTTTTTTGGCTCTTGGATGTTTATTCTTCCACTTGAATTTTTCTAGATTTCTCCAAAATTATGCCAAATTTAAAAATCATTTTGGGGGCTTCCCTGGTGGCGCAGTGGTTGAGAGTCCGCCTGCCGATGCAGGGGACACGGGTTCGTGACCCGGTCCGGGAAGATCCCACATGCCGCGGAGCGGCTGGGCCCGTGAGCCATGGCCGCTGAGCCTGCGCGTCCGGAGCCTGTGCTCCGCAACGGGAGAGGCCGCAACAGTGAGAGGCCCATGTACCGCAAAACAAAACAAAAAAAGAAATCATTTTGGGAAGTATTGGCATTTTTACAATACAAAATATAGTTTTTCACTCTTTATTCAGGTTACCTGAATCATGCAAGATCATTGAAATTTCTTTCCTTTTTTTTTAAGAAGATGTTGGGGGGAGGAGTTTATTAATTAATTTATTTTTGCTGTGTTGGGTCTTCGTTTCTGTGCGAGGGCTTTCTCCAGTTCTGGCAAGCGGGGGCCACTCTTCATCGCGGTGCGCGGGCCTCTCACTATCGCGGCCTCTCTTGTTGCAGAGCACAGGCTCAGTAGTTGTGGCTCACTAGTTGCTCCGCGGCATGTGGGATCCTCCCAGACCAGGGCTCGAACCCATGTCCCCTGCATTAGCAGGCAGATTCTCAACCACTGCGCCACCAGGGAAGCCCTGAAATTTCTTTCTTGCTTTGAAAATTTAGTGGTTCCTAGGTGATACTTTACACCACACATTTCTGGTAATATGTTGTAAAACATACCGACTTTTATTAACTTAGCTTCTCTTTTAAATTGCATCCCTGTTTCCCTCTCTTCCTTGAAGGGAGATGGAAGAAATTGAGATGCATAAATAATCCAGTAGATTTCAGAGATGCGTATTCAGTTGATTGGCAAGAGAAGGCCATAATATTTAAATTTTTTAAAAGTCTAATTGCTACTAATTCTTCCCATGTGGTCATTTCAGGGAATGTACTTATGTGACTTGACCTCAAGTAGCTCTCAGTCAGAGGGCGTGGTTCTTCCCTCCATGTCAGTGTGCAGTGGAGAATCCACAGGTTTCTCAGAGTGTCGCCAGGGGTATTACACCCAAAAGGTGTGAAACACCACGGATCTGTGGGAAGAAAATTGATGTAAATACATTTGGACTGTTAATCACGATAACCTCATTAAAGTCACTTAAAGAGGACTTGGAAGCAAAAATATAGGTTACAGAGAACATGGGACGCATCAGTGACCGGTTAGTTATAGTTGGCATTCATCCTAAAATCAGAAAACCCCTCCCCTCCCTTTTTTTCCTTCGGACAGGTTTGCCGAGTTTAATTTGCTGCCTTTCCCCCCCCACCTCCCCGGTACGCAGGCTTCTCACTGTTGTGGCCTCTCCCGCTGCGGAGCACAGGCTCCAGACGCGCAGGCTCAACGGCCATGGCTCACGGGCCCAGCCGCTCCACGGCATGTCGGATCTTCCCAGACCGGTACACCAACCTGTGTCCCCTGCATCGGCAGGCAGACTCTCAACCACTGCGCCACCAGGGAAGCCCTAATTTGCTGCTATTTTTGTTAGCAGTTTTTAAAAAGAAAACCCAAACCTCTGACTTGAATTAATTCCCACAGGCAGAGGCTCGTTTGCTGGAGGAGCAGCGGAGAGTCCAGGTCTACCTTCATGAGAGCACCCAGGACGAGCTAGCCCGGAAGTGCGAGCAGGTGCTCATCGAGAAACACTTGGAGATTTTCCACACAGAGTTTCAGAATTTATTGGATGCCGACAAAAATGAAGGTGAGCCACTGAGATTCAAAACACAAGGGTATTTATTTTGATCTGTGATTTTGAAATTGTGTGAAGTTCTAGACTCAGAGTTAGCATTACCAACACCAGTCATTCTTTAAGAGATTCACGTGTGAGATTGTGTGTGCGCGTGTGTGCACCTTGTCGTGTGTTGATTTCAGACCTCTGCAGTGTGTTTGGGGTGTGACTTTGGGGGAAGATCGTCTTTTCAGTTTGGTTTGGAGTCTAACTTGTTCCATACACCTTAGCATTAAATGATGCTACCACTGGTTTTTTTTGTTTGTTTTTGGGGTGTTTTTTTTTTGCGGTACGCGGGCCTCTCACTGCCGTGGCCTCTCCCGCTGCGGAGCACAGGCTCCGGACGCGCAGGCTCAGCGGCCATGGCTCACGGGCCCAGCCGCTCCGCGGCACGTGGGATCCTCCCGGACCGGGGCACGAACCCGTGTCCCCCGCATCGGCAGGCGGACTCTCAACCACTGCGCCACCAGGGAAGCCCGAATATGCTTTTATAATAGCATGACTTCATTGTTACTTTCAGCTAAATATACATATGCTAAATATAAAGTATTTGGTTACAGTTAAGTGCATTTGATTATTAAGGTGTAAAAACACGGTGGTTTTATTTCAGTGTACCTTTCACCTCTATAAGCACTTAGTGGAATGGATATGCAGAGTTTGTTTCTGTGCATAAAGGTGTGGCGCCTTCTTCTTTCAGATTTGGGTCGCATGTATAATCTTGTATCTAGAATCCAGGATGGCCTGGGAGAATTGAAAAAACTCTTGGAGACACACATTCATAATCAGGGTCTTGCAGCGATTGAAAAGTGTGGAGAAGCTGCTTTAAATGTAAGTACTGTTTAACTGAAAACCAGTCGGGCCTAACCATTCCCACGCACGGACTGCAGGTGTCTCTCGTGTATCCACTTTCAAATCCAAGGGGTAAGATTTTCGCTAGACTCTCGTAGAGAACCTTGTTTTGGCTTTCTAAAATAGAAGGTTCACAAGCATCTTTATTTAGTAAACATCTCCATAAACTCTTCTCTGGCACTTTTTAGGCATTAAGGGTTTAATTTCTTGATATTCTTTTTTCCTTTATGTCTTCTCAAAATTACATTCCTTGCACTAGAAGAGAGAAGATTATTCCATAGAAAGAACAGGCTAAAGCCTCCTAGAGACTTGGCTCTGGCACCCACAGGCCACAGGCTGCCCCTTGCAGGAACTTCGGTCTGTGTACTGCCCTCCCATTGAAGCTCACAGGGCTGTTTGCCCTGGAAAGGCCCTGAAATGTATGGCATTTCTCATACACACCCCCATCCCCACTGCGGGAGGCACAAGAATATTCTGCTGGGTTATCTGTAATTCACTTGATAATTTTACATAGCAAGTATCGTGTGTTTCTAAGAGACAGGTAAGTTGTCTTCAGTTTTGTCCCTATTGTGAACTTTAATTTTGATCGTGTTTGGGACAACTATTGGGGAAGAAAAGCTTCTAGAACAGTTGGTTCTTAGGTCTGAATCAGAAAACTTTTTATCTCTGATTTTATTGTGTTTGGTGTTAATTATTTCAACAGTACTATCTTTAATATCTTTTTTTAAGTCTTTATTTTCCTGTTATCTTTGGGGGATCCCTTTTCTACTTCTAATTATGGGGGTTGCTGCCTCACTTGTTATCACATCTATGAAATGTTAGAGGGAAGAATGTGAACACACCTTTAAAGGGCCTGACACAGGCATGTACATGGGATTCAAAAGGGGTGACCTGGTGAAGATACCTTTTCAGTAACGTAAGGTGTTTTCACAGATGTTAATTCAAAACCCGGTTTGGCTGTGTGGGCAGCAGAGCCAAGTTAAATGACTTTCCTTCAAATGAGTTAAGGTGGCGAGTCTTATTTCATCAGATATGGATTAGAATAGCAGATAAGTGAAGCAGGTTTCACTTTTTCGTGTAAACTGTTGAATGTTAGATATGAGATTGGCCTTAGGGACTCATGAATATAGTTAGATTAAAAATCAGTAGGATAACTTGCTTTTTTGTTTTCATAGGAATGATGGGATATTCCTTCTAATGTCAATCTTTCCCAAACCAAGTAAGGTTCTAGATGGAGAAATAATCCCGTTGTAATTCTCCAGTACCATTTTCTCTTTCTTTTGGATACAGTCAGCTGCTTGATTGACTTGGTCAGTGAGTCTTGAATCTGAAGTTAACCTTTTCATGGCCGTTAAAGCACAAGTTCAGCTTCTGAGTAAAATCATTCCTCTATTAGTAGAGACTTCGTCCATCAGCAGTAGACAGCAAAAATAAACTGTATTTACCAGCAGTTATATTTCATTGGAAAGTAAGCTTTTAAACAATATTTTTATTTATTATCTATTTATTTATTTAATTTATTTTTGGCTGCATCGGGTCTTCTTTGCGGCACACAGATTTCTCTCTAGTTGTGGCATGCGGGTTTTCTCTTCTCTAGTGGAGGCGTGCGGGCTCAGTAGTTGTGGTGTGTGGGCTTAGGTGCCCTGCAGCATGTGGGATCTTAGCTCCCTGACCAGGGATTGAACCCGCATCCCCTGCATTGTAAGGCGGATTCTTTACCACTGGACCACCAGGGAAGTCCCCTAAACAATATTTTTATTACGTAGACGTAAGCCACTGATACACGTGTATTTAAACATCAAAATAAGATTTTCCCCCGTGAAGAATAATTATATATAACTAGGTAAATTTATATTGCATCTGCCTTAACTTTCAGAAGTCAAACATTTTTCATTATAATAATTATTTCCATAGGAACTGTTTTCATACTGAACTCATGAAACTGGTTTTTTAAATTGCTGTTCTTGTGAGGAAAAGTTTCTTTAAGAAAACAAAAACTTTTCCTATTTTCTGCAAAAGGAGTTTTCCCTGGATTTCCATTTTATTGGCTCATCTCTGAAGTTTCGGTTGACTCATAAGTTCGTGGTGCCGTCTGACTGGCGCGTGGATCTCTCTACGACCTTCCCCGGGCTGGGTCGGACCTGCTACCTTTACTCACCAATGACGTAAAAGCCCAGGAAAGTTCCAGAAGCTCCAGAGAGAAGCACACGTGGCCAGTCTTAGCCTGAATCACAGCAGCTGCTTATTGTAAATAAATACAGCTGCTAAAACATAAATCATTTTAAGTAGGTATTCATTCTTATCACGTGTGTAGTAAACGTAAAAGATGTATCGTAACCCAAACCATGGTGGTTTTCCAAAACCCATTAATGCTGGGGAAAAAAAAAGAAAGCGGCAGAACAAGGAGATTGGTTGAATTAGTAAAAAATTATAATTATCGCACCTGATTTTAAGTGGGGTTTAATTACTTTGAAAACAGTTTTTAAAGTTTTTCACCTAACTGAGTTGAATCATAGTATATGAGAATCATTTAAATTCATCTATTAAATGCCATAGAAGGCACTGCTTAAATGATTTTTTTTAAGGGCTGAAAAGTTATCTAGTCCTATGATTCCATTTATCCTATCAGTTTGGCTAGAAAACAAGTTTCACTGCTAATCAGTGTGGCCTAGGCTGAAATTATTACAGGTTTCACACTTGTAATGTGATTCAAATAATATTTTTGTGTTAGAAACTTCAAAATCTACTTAAGAATTTTCTGAAGGCATTTTTTTTTTTCAGGTAAAACAGATTTGAGAATAATGGCTGTTCCTGGGTAACCAGTGTCTGGGAAATCCCCCTCATGGTGTCCCCCTCTCTTTACCCAAAGAGGAGCTGGCAGTCTTGCCCCGTGAAGTGTGGCTGAAACCCTGAACACATGTGCTGTTTTTAGACACACTGCTTCTTGTACCTGCCCCGCACCCAGGCCGAGGAACACCAGGGAACGCAGCTCGGGATCAGGGCTCCTCTCAGGGTACAGGGGCTTCAGGCTGAAGCAGATCAGTGTGGGTCCATCCCACCCACCATGACGTGAGATTCCAGCATGAGGAGGCGTTCTCTCCTTCAAGAGACGCTCGCGACTGAGGACGCTCACGCCTAGCCGTGCTGCAGGCACCGTTAGCACATTGCATCGGGGCAGCAGTAGAACTTTGGAAACACAAAGAAATCTTCAAGGATGGGTTTTAAACAGGTTTAGAGCTGAACAAAGGATCAGATAATTCTTTTAATAGGCAAGTTTATTTCATAGGCAAGTTACCCCGTGCGTGACCTCTGGACTGAAAGGAGAAAGTGGGGCAGCAGGGCAAAGCAGCATGTTTCACGTTGCCTCCAGTCCGGCAGGAGTCGAATACTGAGAGGCCTCGTGTGCTTGTGTAGATGGGCCGCGGCACTACACGTGTGCTCAGTTGTTGGCAGTGTAGTAACGGAAGAAAAATCATCTGTATTAAAATATAGGAGGAGGTTGGGCCCGTCCACTTGGGTCTTGAGGGGAGCATCTTGAAAGCAGAGCCTGCACCTTCAGGTGTTCATTTAAAAGGATTGAAGCCCGTGGTGGGGCGGCCCCGTGCTGGGTTCTCAGCTATTTCGTCTACCAAAGCAGCTACAGCTGCTGGTGCTGGCTGATGGTAAAACTCAGAGGACCAGCAGATGCCGCAGAGGACATTGGCGTCATTTCCGCTCATCCAGCAAGCATTACGGCCTTCCTGTGCCGGCTCTGCTGCCAAGGATCCCAGTGCGAGGTGCCTCCACACTTCTGTCTTCTCATCGGATCTCACTTTGTCTTCTCAGGTCTCCGTGACCTCATCGGCCTGCTTTAGTGACTGTATTGCGGGTCCATTTTAAAGCTCACATCTTCCTTCCTTGGTTCCTTAGCATGGTGGCAGCAGCTGTGGAGTATGTGCCACGTGGCCTCACCCTCTGCCCCTGGCAACCTGAGTCTTCTCAGGTGGAGTCATTTCCTACTGAATGTGGGCATGGCCGTGGGGTCCTCTCGGACCAGCGGGCAGCCAGCCTGTCGGCCCCCAGCAGCGCATAGCCGCCACCCAGTCCTCCCTGCTGAGTCAGTGGAGTGGGGACGTGCTGCGTCCCTTGGCCCTCCAGGCTTTTCCTGCCTAGTCCCAAAGCTACCCTTGGAATCTAGGCCCCGTCCCTTCATTTCTGGATGGTCTTACATCTCTCCCATTCCTGTTCATCCCTCATCTTGCTTAGCAGTTTCGTCTTCCAAAAATACTCCTTAATGTGTGAACAGTTTTACTCCATGTTCTTCATCCGTTGCTTTAAATAAAGCACAAAAAACCCCTCTTCCCTAAAATAATATATTAAATCTTCCATATTATATTAAATCAAAATCCTCTTCTAATATGCTCCCATTTTCATGAACCTCATCTTCCAGTGAAACAGTTCGGTCCTCATTCCCCCAGAACACGTCCTTGTTTATTATACACATGCTACCTTCTCTGCCTGGAACGTGGTCCTTCCTTCCTTCTCGTTTAATCCTGCTTTTGAAGGCCAGCTCAAATCCCACTTTCTGAAAAAGAAAAATGCTCTCCACTAACTCTTCCCGCCCAAGTTAGTTGTATCCTCATCCTAAACCATTAGGGCATTTAGAAAAATCTCCCAAATGCCACTTTATATTTGTGTATAACTTCTGTGTTTCTTGTCACTCCATCTATTATAAGTCCCTTAAGAGTAAAGCTGACACCTTACTGTGGTTTGATACTCTTTATAATTTTAGAACTAGCGTCTGATACAGCAAGTATTTATTGTTGATAATGACGATGACCGTGGTGGCAAGGAGGAAGGGCCACCTGCTGCCGCCCCAGCTCCTTTCTGGTTTCATCCTCCTTACTCTTCATCCTCATTATGTCCATCGTCGAAACGTTTTTAAACACTCCCAGTTCCATACGTGTGCCGTGCTGTACCCTCCTGGTTCTTCTCTCTGC